ACTTTATTTTATAATTTTATCGTTTTTCAGAGTGTCAGTCACCACCACTTCGTCCGACCTGGCTCATTATCACCTAAAATCTTCATTTTTCTCCTACTTTCTTTTTGCTGTTGTTCATTATATTATCCATCTATATTTTATTTTACTCGTCTATACTCTAGTATTCAGAGCTAGGCCTATAATGATTCTATCGCAGGCCTTATTTGAAAAGAATCAATAAAGATATAAACAAAAAAAACAATCACAATAAATAAATTTATCACCCTATTCAAATTATCTCTCATCCTCAAAACAATGACACAAAATTAGAAACTGATACATGTGTACATATATTTAATTGTTTCGAGGACACTCTTACGTTAGTTACAGTTCCGGAAGTTACAAGAAAGAAAGCGATAAACAAACACGATTCGCAAGTTCGATTACAAGTATATATTCAGGCTATTCAGACGGTGAAACTGTCTGGTGCTCAAGTATCTCGAACTACCTTGCACTATCTTCTGACTCACGCAACAGTCAAAAAACTAATTTTACATCGCATCTGCTCATGAATGCAAATTGTTTAGCTGAACTAAATTAATAGTATTCATCGTAAAGTAACTTTCCTTCCCAAAAGTACATCAATTCAAAGCTTCTTATTAATAGAGAAAAAAATAATACTGTACCACTAGAAATCACAGTTTGTTACACATTATAGTTTCTAATTTTTTATTTAAAATTTCAAAATAAAAAAATCCTCTTTCATTCCATACAAAATGGTTGAAAAGTGAACGATAGAGGAAATATTATAATGCATTCTTTATGTATATTATATCTATAATCCTGCTATTATTCTTTGAATGCAATAGTAACGATAACGATCGATTAATTTCTATTTCTCTCTTTCTCTCTCCCCCTTTACTCCTCTCTTTTTCAATGTCTGATCAAGTTCATCTGCTGTATTTTGACACAAGAGCAATACGCCGGAAGAGCAAACATTTATTGTTCTAATAACAATCAATAGAACAGAAAAGAACTTGAACACTTGCGTATGCGTTGAATATGTCAATAAAAGAAAAAAGAAACTATTATTTAACGAAACAAAAAAAATGGGTAAAGTAAATAGTGAAACAATTAAAAATAGTCTCGTTACGGGAAAATTATAAGTATTAAAGAATGGAAAGATCTATCGATGTCTGGTGACAGTTTTGTGGAATAAACTTTTATTGTGATATGATTACCGATAACGAACAAAATAAGGTAATTTACTATGTGTGCACTAAAACAGATAATAATTAGATTGCGTTCTACATTGATCGGTTATTTAGTTTGTCAACATCAACCCACTACAAATTTTATTTTTTAAATAAGTGTAAACGAATATGTCATACGAATTCTCTAAGGTCTTCAAATAAAATAGTTGAGCCATTGAGATTAAGATATTATATGTTTCTATTATATTTATCATATAATGCCATTCTCTATCTTGTTTTCAAGGTCGCAAAAAGCACTACTATTTTAGAGTAATGTTATCTTCCATCGCATATTAATGAAAATCTGATTAACTGTCAAAAATAGCAAATAGTGTGTTCGTTAGAATCTTCTCTTTTTGATCCTTAGCCGAATTAATCGGCACTGTTATCTCGCAGCTAATCTTTTTCTCATAGTACAGATGGAAAACCTCGACATAGATTTCAATTTTAGTAAGTCCCCCACTCCTTGAACACGATGTATTGAAGAGCCTCACCTCTATCTTCTGTTAGAAATTACGGATTGCACATGTTAGGATAGTACAAAGTCTTGTCTTTCCACTATACAAATTCCTTTCTCTCCAAACGCACGTTTCCAGGATTTTCTAGCAAGTTTTCTAGAAACTCGAAAGAAAAAAATGCTATTTTTAACCAGAAACATATCCACGGAGACAGATAAATACACTCATTGTACATGCCTTTCCGATTCAGCATGGTCGCAAATCTATAGCGACAGATATAAATCAACTTTAGATGAAACTTCTGAGGATACCTACTAAGTAGTATTTTCGAACAAAAAGTATTCAGCATTTTTTTCAAATGTCATAGACAATTATACTAATGTCGAGAGTTTTAAATAATCAACTATTGTCAAAAGTTTTGAGAAATGCCTTTTTTTCATATAAGCATTCAGGAATGTAAAAGTTTTTGTTTTGTAAAAATGGAAGGAATTAGGAAATCATAATTTCATAAATTCATGAATTTCTGATTTCCCCAAGTTCCTCCTACATTGAAAAAGCTTCGCTTCTAAAAAATTTTAAACTTGATTTATCATTTAAAATTTTCAACACTATTACGATTGTCGACGACAGTGCTCTGGTTGCAAATGTCATGAATTTTACAAACCATTTTGCCAACTTAGTCCCAACTTAGCATCTCAATATTAGTACCATTATTCAAGCTGTTTCGCCAAATCTATTTCTTCCTCTGCAGCATCTTTTATTTTTGTAAATCTCCAATCAAATGAAGGCTAAAGGTAAGACGTCAACATGGTTTTAAAATAAAACTGGCATATGAGTCTATATTTTGGCAGAACTGAGTTTTCACTTTTGCTCTAATTTTCAACAACGTGGAAGACTTTTTAAAAACTTTACTAGACTTATGATGTCTACCAACACCAATATTAGTCGATAATTAATCTCGAAGAGAATTTTCGGGAAATACGAAAGTCCAATTCGTATTTCACTATTGTGACGACATCTCGAAGAAAATCAACAACTTCTGCCACTATACTACCCGGAATAGAAGGGCATGACCTACTGTTGTGTTCAAGGAGATCAAACTTTTTACGATGGCCTTCTAATCCCATCTTCCAACCACAATTTTCTAAAAGTTTTTGAAACTCGTAAAAAGCTTAAAATAATGATTTTTTTCGTTTCACAACAGCTAACTAATTGATGCTCTAGGGCACTGAACAATTGAAAATCCAGGTTTTAGAATGCTTTACATCTTCAAAGCTTTGCTAACCGAAAACAGTCAGATGAAAGGCAATTAAGGTGCTGTACATTCGTTGCTATTGAATTTTTCCTCTTCACTGCGCTTCTGGCACTTTCTGTTCATCAACATCGATTATGACGGTCAGTATACTTATTGTCTAATTAATATCAATTTGAGCTTAATGCAAATAGTCGCGATGACTGAATCGATTATACTTCTTTATGTTCGATGTTTAGGGTTACTCGATAGAAGGGATAATTAAAAAAGAAGAGTCATACTCACGACTTCTGTCATAAGTCCCTGTTGCAAAAATTTCAAGAGCCAAGACCGAAAACATGCATACTTTCACAGTTTCTAGCAGCTAAATGATGAAAAGTGTTCAAAAAAATCGCGTGGTTGTATTAGAAGACCATGGCCTTCTAACACGGATTTTACAGAATTGCCTCAGAGGTGACCTCCAATTCTGGAGGGAGGGAGGTATGACATAATCTAAATTTCCTCAACTTTTTATCAAGATTCGACTGATGATTATCAAGATAGATTTCTAGTATGGAAGGAATCCCTATATATAAATTATAAAAGCGTTAGAACTGTGAATTTTTCACCTTTAGAAAAACAAACTTTTTGATATTGAGATAACAGTTTGTATTTTAAAACTGAGTAAATTTACATATAACTGGTGATTTTGCACGAACATACTATAGAACATAGAGTTATATTAAACTTGACTACTAATCTGTTTGAAATTATGATGCAGTTCTGAGCACTTTTTATATACTTTTTTGTATGATAGACAATGGAAAGAGAATGAAAGTAATCATCAATTTTTCACAAGTATATTATTAAATTATTCTGATGAAAAAACAAAAAGAATCTTTAAATAGGCCTGTCAGGCCTATTTGTTGCTGTCATTTTTTTTTTTTTTGAAAAATTCAAAGACTCAGGAGATTTCAATACATAAGTAAGACAGGAAAGAAATTCCATTCATAATTATTTCCTTTTCTTAAAACGGAATAACGAAGTAAAGTTCACTTTCAATCATTATAAAAAGTGATAATCATGAACTACATTGGGACTCGTCGAAAATATTCGAACATCAGTTATTATTCATCAAGAAAAAATTCTACTGCATCACGTCATGAACAGCAACTATTACAAAGATATCATACAGATCATTTGCATATACCTTCATTTCACGATCGAGCACTATCAATATCAGAACAAGTAGCAGTAAGAGATTTCTATTCTGATATTAGTTAGCTGGTTCAAATTAAACCTAGTACAACACTTTAATTTACTGTCTACTATAAAATTAGCTTTGAAAAATCAAAATATTTCGTTCTAACATGAAAAAATGGAGAGATTAGACTACGAGAAGACATTCTCAAATGAGTTTATTTAAACGAAATAATGTTCAGTAATTATATTTTACTTTTTAGATCAAATATAGTATACCATCGACCACCCAGCAAATATTAACAAATGTTGATCAAACTAGAATATCCGGAATAGCACCACTGGTTACATTTGATGAAAATGGCGATATACCTATATCACCATATTATAGCTATTGTAAGTACACAAAAAGTCTCGTTGGTAGAAGTATTAATTGTTTTTCATAAATAGTCTATAATCTATAATCACCGACATTACTGGTGAATTTTTTAGGTGATAATTTAATTAAGGACGCTAAATATAACAATGACAGTTTCTCTGTTATACAACCACTAACTTCATCTTCAACTACTAACAATTTTCTAAATAAGAAACACCAACGTTTTTATTATCGTTTTCGTAATCGTCTATTTCGTTCTTATCCACAACAATATATTAATAATAGAAGTAATCAAATTTTAAAACCACCACAGAAATATCGTACTCCACGTGAACGATTGCAATATTATTTACATTTATTGACAAAATTTATATTTAGTCAAATTGGTCTAACGATTCTTGTTGTACTCTACGTCGGTTTTGGTGGACTTATATTTTATCTAATAGAATCACGTCATGAACATGTTAAACATCGAAGAATTGAATTAAATTATAATTCAACAATTGATCGAATTCGTCGAATAGCTGGTGAAGAATTTAATTGGTCATTAAATAAAACATTTGAATTAAATTATGCTTTATGGAGAGGTATGTTATGGAGAAATGATGGCAATGATGAAGTTGGATGGAAAGTAAAAATATTTCATGAAAAATTTTATCTACGAATTGATGCTGAATTAAAATTTATGTTTCATGAACAAGAAAAACTAATGGATAAAAATGAAAATAATCGAGAACTACAAAAGTGGACGTATTCTACTGCTATGTTATATGCCGCTACGGTTATCACAACTGTCGGATATGGTAACATAGCTCCAAAGTCCATTGCGGGAAAAATTTTAACTTGTGGATATGCAATGATTGGTATACCAATTATGATTATGTGTCTTACAAATACCGGTGATCTATTAGCTTACTTCTTCATTAAATATTATTCTTATACAATCAGAAAATTACATCGAACCATGAGAAAATTTAGAAGTAAAAAAGAAAATAAATTCGAACAGGTAAGAAATCAAGTGGCATAATACTCAGTTATAGAGAGATTGATTATTCAATCTGATCTCTAAGTGCCACTAGCTGATGCATATTTTTGAAAAGATCATTATGGCAGTTTTTTTATGATTTAAAATGATTATATCGTTATCTGTTTTAGGAATGTGACGGTGATGATGACGAAGAGCAACAACAACATGTTCCAATCGCTGCTACATTAGGTGTATTAGGTCTGTATATTTTAGCTGGAGCCCTATTATTTTCTCATTGGGAAGGATGGTCTTACATCGATGGTGCCTATTTTTCATTTATTACATTTACAACGATTGGTTTAGGAGACCTTGTTCCAGGTAAAAGTACATTTACGGGAAATAAGAATGGTAAATCCATCTTATGTGCTTTATACTTACTTTTTGGTATGACTCTCACGGCAATGTCATTTAAATTAATGCAAGATGATTTATTTTCTATCAAAAGAAAATTATTTAAAAAACTTGGCATTATTGACAGTGATGATGAAGAAGAAGAGGAGAGTAATAATGAGAAAAGTGGTGGTGGTTTTTTTGCATCAAGAAAAACATTTAATAAATAAAACATTAGTTAGATTCTATGATGCTCAGTCGACAAAAAAAATAGTGGATCTCTTGCCATCACGATAAACGATTGCATCTTTAAAAAAAAAGAAAAAAGAAAAATATCAGATTATTAGGAAGAAAGTAAATTAACGAACATACTTTCAAAAAAGGTAGCATGCTACAAGATTATCACGCTTTTTCAAATGTACTCATTCTGAGTGTTCACAATTGGAAATATTGTCGAGTCGATAGATTTAGCACACGAAACAACTGTTGATTTCGAAATTCCACAGATATATATGGTTGACTTTTTTAACATTATCCAATTTAAAAATGAAAGTTTTCGAGCAGTTTGTAAGTAACACGTATGTTAAATGCATATAAAAAACTAACAGTAGTCTAGTTTAAAGATAACTTCTGATATATATTCGATTGACTATTTATATATTTCTAGCATCAATGACTAGTTAACTTATTTCCTTGTGACAATAAACAAAAAAACAAAGCAAAATATAAATATTTGTTTAACGGAATAAACTTTTTCTGATTAACGGATTAGTCTGTTTATTATGTTCACCATTATTTTTATCTACATATAAATGATACTGTTACTAAGGTTTTTTCTCAAGATATTTAACAATTGTAAACAAAAATCGAAACTTCTTTGTCTACTTTTATTCTTTAGAATCAAATGAGTTATTCCAATTTACATTCCAACTGCACTGAATTTCTCTAAAAGTGTGTACAATATCTTTTTATAAAACTGATTTCTGGTGTTTTCCCTCAAAAAAATAAGAATTTGTTCGGATTATGACAATGACACTACCAGGAGTATTTCTGACTTGAGAGGATGGAATCTTAAGATGAAAGATGATTGAAAAAATCCTGTTAGTATTGAAATCAAAGAGAGTCATCATAAATGTAAAATAAATAATTACATATCACCGATAAAAAAAAATTAAAGTTTGCTTAGAGTTAAAGAAAAGTGCCTTTTCGTATTCAGCACACTTGATAACCTGAAAAATTTTCCATTTTTAACGAGGGGTACTGACAAAAAGTTAAGAAAAATTTTCAAACAAATTGCCGCAGAAAAATCCCCATGGTAAAATTATAAAAT